AATTTTTTCTTTAATTTATTAATAAAATATATTTTTAAAATATTTTTTTCTTAAATCAGCAGAATCAGCCAAAACAGCCACTCCAGCCAGAATATCATAAATTTCAGCAGAATCAGCCAAAACAGCCGATTTTAGTGCTACCAAACGGGCTCTTAATGTGGTTTCTTTTGATCTCCTAAAACTTTTTTTAAGTTCATTCCAATATAATTTTGTTTAGGTCTACTCCAGGGTTTTTTACAACAATATTACTAAAATAAAACTTATTTACATAAATATGACTATTCATTACTACAACCTAGTGTCATGGTAACTTAAGTTCAAAACTTGAACATGAATTATTATGATTTCATTACTATTCTAGTAAGTAAGCATATTTTTATAAATCATCTTTATTTTGGTCATATTTATGTAATTATTTCAATACCTTATACTAAAATCAATTGATTACTCATCAAGTAATGTGATAAAAATTTCAATTGATTGATTACTCATCAATTTAACACTTGATTTTTTTTGGAAACAAAAAAGGAAACGCGAAGAATGAAAAACAACAAACAAAAAGAAAAAAACAACCCAAAGTTGTACCAGTGCATTGACATTGAGGGAGGTCCAAATTTTAATTAAATAGGTATATTGTACAAAAATGTCAAAACTTTGATCAACTATATATATTTATTGGAAATTATTTATAATATATAAACGACATAAAAATGTTCTTTATTAAAAGTACTTTTATAAAGTATAAAATTTAAACTTTCATAATATTATACTAATAATCAAAACCATGCTCCAAATTTCAATGTTTGGCTAAATATTTTGGGACGGAGGTAGTATGTATTTAACAAAATTTATTCTCGGATATAAAATAACAGCTATTGCAACAAAAATGTCAAATAAAATACAAATATTAAAAGATTTTTTTTGTCAAAGTCAAATACAAAAAACCCTAAAATTTACAACTATTTGAGTGATTTTCATGGACTGAAATTATCAAAATCAGATATAAACACGAATGTAAGAATTAGAACTATACTAGAGAGTATATTTGAACTAAACTAATTTATTGTTTAGGCTATTAAGATTGGCGCAGATTATATCGCGCAACCGGCGCACCATGAGAATGGTGCGCCCGGTTGCAAAACGACGCAATATCGCGGCCGTTTTTTGAAACAAGCAGCCCAAACATCGTTCCTGTTTATTCCTGTTTCAGTCTCCTTCCCCAACGGTGCCAGACCGGCGCACCCCAGATTGACAGATCTACTTTGAATTGCAATCGACGCGGAGTGACTGAGAGCGGATTTTGCGCCACAGATAGTATACGAACAGCTCCTCATCGGTTGGATGGAACCGGAAACCTGGCACCAGCAGCTGTGATGAATCTCTCGATCCCATGAAGCAATTACAGTTCTAAGAATTACTTTGGTTCGCTGAGGTTGAAGAGAGTTTTAGGGATAGAATTTTTAGATAATCCATGGCCGTGTAAATGATGAAAACGATGTAGCAAGAGTTGTGCGACTGTCCATGGCTGTGTAAACGATGTAATTGTGATTTATAAGCTTCATGAAACATCCTTCTCAAAATATGGGGAAAGAAAGAAAAAAAGAGTTACATTTCACATACACTAGAATTACATTTCGTTTTGGCTAAAGTTACATTTTGTAACACGCGGTTTGCATTTCAATTTTTCTCAAAAAGTTACATCTTGTTTACATGTGAGTTACATTCTAATTTACGCGAGTTACATTTTAATGTACGCGAGTTACAACACAAAACTATGCAAGTTACACAACAAAATAAACCTATGTTTGTAATAAAAAATAATGTTATTATTAAAAATCAATTTTAATGGACCTAATATTAAAAACAAAACATATGCACTGTTTATGTAAAATAGTTGGACAATTAAACTCCTTTTTTACATTAAACATGAGTTTCATTTCAGGCTACAGGTTACATATGTTGTTAACTGAAGTTACATTTGTACCAACATGAGTTACATCTAATTATACACAAGTTACACTATTCATTCTACTGGGAGAAAAAAGATATTGTACAGGCGTGTACAGTTCACACGATCTTTTTTTAATTTGATCACCATGCTCCTGTTGCACGTTATAGGGCCTCTAAGATTGGTGTTAAGCTTGTGCAAAGTTGAAATGGAAAATACTTGAAGGAGAATATTTGAAAATTAAAAAAAAAACCTTGTTCTCCAACAGAAAATTTAAAAAAATATGGTGCCCAATGAATCGAACATGAGACGTGTGAAATGAACGTGTGGGCTACTTCCGTCATACCAAAGTTACTAATGCTAATCTTTTGGCTTTCTTTATTTTTATAATCTTTCTGCACAACACTATATAAAATATACATATATATACTAGTAATTTGTTTATTGTTGAGTGTGGGCTTAGGCCCTCTCTGGTCCAATACCAGATCTGCCCCTGAGTACATCCTCCCTAGTAAATTACGAACCCTCAGTCAAATCTTCAAAGCTCCACATGTATTTGAGATCTCGTCCTCATATGATGTGAACGCTGCTTCTTAGACCTGGATAGCCCCTTTCTGGTGTTCAAGTTTTGTGTTGACAAACAGTTTTCTGGCGCGACGAGCAATGCTAACACATATCCTGATTTGCATCAGACTCCCATAGATCATCTACTTTCGAGATAGGAATTGAATTATCTTCTCATTCTCTGAGACATGACCAAGAATATCATCCCCTGAAAAAAGAAGAGCACGGATCACTATAAAATCCATCCCAAGCGAATGCATTGGATTGAATACCCACAACACCTGACTTTGGAAATCTAATCTTCTCTCGATCAACTCTCTCTGTAGTGCTCTTTGTTCCTGTAGTCTTTCTATCATCATGTGGTCCCAATATCTGAGTACAATTATCCAAGGAAGAAGACAATAGTATCTCAAATTTATTGATCAAAAAGTGAGAAAGTGATTCAACCCCATTTGACAAAGTAGACTGAAAGAAGTCTTTAAGATTTGCAAATGCATCAGGTTCATTAGCTGACATAGAATTTTGAGTGTCGTCCAAAGAAGTCTGCCTTAAAGAGTTATCAAAATTGGCAGAGTGTGCAATACCGACTAAAAACAATCCCTCCGAAATGGAAATCTCAGACTCACTGGACTGTGAAAAATCCCCACACAAAGATGAAAAATCCAGCTCAAACAAATTCGAATCTAAAAAATCAGTATACCCCTCATCTATAGCTGGACCATGACTCGGAGTTGTCTGCTTTTAGGTGATTTCACTTATCAAGACAATTGCTCTTGTGATTCCGGATAGAAAAACAACACAACTCATCACTCAATCAAATTGAGTAAAACATGAGTAAAGTACTGACAAAAAACTTTATTTTATTGATTAGTATATATTTATATTATTACTATGTAATACTTTTTTTAAAAAAAATTGGGCCCCCAAAAATCGGGATGCCCTATTCTGTAGAACATGCTAAAAACCATCTATGCTCTAACCTCATTTGGTTGTTTTATACTCTTCCCTCCTATTAAGATCGTCACAAATTTTCTTTTCAATTTGTCCTACTAAAATGTTTTCATACTGAATTTGATAAAATTTGTGTAATTTTGAATCATTCTTATTTTATTTATATTTTAACATTTCATTATTAATCACATAAATCAACTTTTATTAATGACGATATAACCTTATTCCAATATAATTTTATTTAAGTTTACTCTAACCTCATTTGGCTGATATATAGTCCCCTGGCCCTGTTAGATTGTGCAAAGTTAAAAATAAGAATTATAATTAAGCTATCGAATAAGAATTATAATTAAGCTGTTTAATAAAAGTTTAAAATAAAGATGACATCACTTTATTATTATTATTTAAATTACATATATAGGCCAACGTATCCACAGATGTATCACAGGAAAAACATTACCTTAAAATCATTTAATTAAGCTATTTAACAAAGGTTTAAAATAGAGATGAAATTCACTTCACAGCTCCCCTTAAAGATGACATATAGTCCCCCTAAATAAGAATTATAATTAAGCTATCTAATAAAGGTTTAAAATAAAGATAACCTTCACTTTATTATTATTTAAATTATATATTTGGGAAAAAGTAACAACACAAGGATCACAAAAAATATTACATAACAGAACGTTGTGAAACGAAATCATTAATCACTTCATAATCAAATTTTTCCAAGATCTCATGCTCAATGATTAAAATTGCTAATCTATTAAGCTTTTTTGAGAAATTGTAGATCTCACAGATTATTAGGATGGTGTTTAGGAACTGGGAGGCACAAGCAGCCCAAAAAACAATAATATAAATTGGTAGTTTTGTAATAAAGAGGAATAAAAAGCTATAAAGGTTAAAAATGTGTGAAAAAACGTGCCTTTATTGATTCAAGAATAAATGTGTTGACATACAACTAGCTCTACTTAAAAATCAAAATCAAACATATTTTTTTAAACTTGTCGGAGCGATTCCAATCAAGACTTTTTGCTTATGTTTTAATTTTTCAACAAAAACTACATATTGAGCCTCATTAATTAATTGAGTTTATAAATAAAAAAGAAGCCTATAGTCCTATAGACATTACATATAAAGAAGAAGAAAATTGGGCCTAACTTTCTTTCTCCCTTTTCGGGTCTAGGGCGGTCACCCCTACTGCCCCTAGGACCGGCCCTGTACATACACAACATACAAAGAGTTTTGATATAGAAGGTGTAGATCAAGAAGTGAAGGGTATATTTAGGTTAAGCTGGATAATTTACCATTAAAACTATCTCGGATGTTTCACTTATTTACAAAAAAAAACGAAAAACTGTTAGATGCACCTCTCTACTAACTTCTAGCTCTTGGTTCAAAGGTTTTTTTAAAACATAAATAGGTGAAAACACCAATTTCAGTTATGTTTTTTAATCCATTCCAAAGATTCCCTAACTCATTTCGATTATAGTTGTACATAGTCATTTGTTTGGGTCAGTGGATTGGGCGTGTAAGCGTTTTTTCTAGCCCATAGGCCACACCGTGTCAAATTTTTAAGTATTTTTATGGGCCTATAAAACATTTAAACTAATCTCGTCGCCGAGCTGAATCGATCTCGTCGGTAGCTCATCACCGTCGTCGTCCGCCATGGCATCGAGAGTCAAATCGCTTTTCCAGAACCTAAAGCGCTACGCTAAGGCACCATGGAATTTCACAGGGCCTCAGTCGGGCCCAGAGTTTAAGCATTCCATCCTGAAGGCGACGGATTACCGTGTTTTCTGTCCCGCCACCGCCCCAGCTAAGGCCATCATACCATCCTCTAATCCCGAAACCGTGTACGACATCAAATACTTCTCTCGCGACCAGCGCCGCAATCGCCCTCCTATCAAACGGACCATCCTCAAGAAGGACGATATCGTGAAGATGATGACGGAACAAACATTCGATGTCAAGGATTTCCCTAAACCGTACTTAACTGCTATGGTTGAGGAGGATTACAACGCCATCGGGGGAGGCTATCAAAAATGAGGTATTCCATTGCATTCTTTTCATCCATGGAGCTTTCCTTCTGGTGTGTTCATATTACTGTGTCTGGAATGGTTTTAATGTTAGTATTTTTCATTTACTTGGAATCAGGTGGTGTGAACCATCTCATTTAGATTATCTGATTTTCATCTTTTAAAACGCCACTATCATACAGGTCTTGTGCACAATCCGAGCAAATATGTATAAAAATAATTGCTGAAATCTGTTTGATGTCAGATAGTGTACTAATTGATGTGTAAAATTATAGCAGTGCAAATGTTCCTTCGAGTAGTTTGTGGATTAGTAAGTCAGTAAGTGTTGATACGATGGAGATGATAGCAAATTACTTCACAACTTAGAGTTTGTGGGGTTACTTGTTTATAAGAAATACTCTATGTGCTCCTAAGAATGAAAAAGATAAATCAATATTGACTAAATGGACCTCTAACAAGAGACATTGATTCTTACAAATTTTCCATAGTGCAAAATATAACTAATCTAAACTAATGTATGCAAAAATGGTGCTACATATTAGCAGGATTTACCAACCTGGTAATCTATCATTTTCTCCTCTCGCGTTCTCAACTAATCAACCAACTACCCCTTAGTTTGGTCAATTAATCACTACCTTTTCATTATATCTTAAGCACATTTGTCGAATGTTTCTTGCTCCTTATGGTATTTAATAATAATGAATAATTATTAGAAACTTGAAAATGTCTATAGCTATCCTATATACAAGGTTTATAATGATTCTAAATCTCTAATAGCCACCATAAGTGGTGAAAGTGTTAGAAATGTCATTTAATAAATAACACTATTACTTATTAATCATTTCTATTGTGAGTTAATAATGATAGAATGTTAAATGATAATCAATGTTATATTGTGTCTTATAAGATGATTATGGGATGTATGGCCAATCATCTATATATTTTGGATTATAATCTTGATATTGTTACGTCATGCGTAGTAGTGTATTAGTATCATAAAGAGTCAGTTTCATCTGATCATATATTTTTTCACATTGTTTACTAGAATCTTAGTTTCTAGTAAAACTTGTAAAGGTTTCTTGCACTTGAAAGATAAAAATACATTGTAATGAGCTGGACTCTCGTATAGTGCAATGACATCACAATGAACTCTCAAAATATATATGTCATCGATATCACAATCATCTTGTAACATAAACGATAATAACATTAATTGACCATTCATGATCACATGATTCACATCATAATTAACTCACAGTGGAAGTCATTAATATGCAATAAAGGTAAATATTATATAATATTCCTAATGTTTTCACCGTATGTAATAACAGTCAAAATAATGAAATAATCACAAACCTGATATGGAGGATAATAGTTAATTATTGACATTTTTAGTTCCTAATTACCATTTAATTTTCTTTATAGGGAAAAGAATAAGATACATACATGATACAACGATGAGCTTGAGTATAATATTGCAGCGGCTACTGATGAATTTTCCCAAACACAATGTAACAACTTTGTTTTGATCAATGCTGAAGGGGTTCCCTTACTTGTTAAAACACTATATGACTATATACATGTGTGAGTTTAAATAGGTCAAGCTGTTGTGAAATATTAAAATCATTTGGTCTATGTTGATATTTTTATTCAACCTATCCCCTTGTTTCATAAATTCTGTCGGGCTATCTCCTGCTCCCATTTTTAGATCTTCGAAGCTTCAACTATTGGAACACCTCTTTTGTGCTTTAAGAGTTCTGATATAAATCATATTTCTAAATTTTTTAATCTTGATGGGTAAAATCATAGTATGTTCAGACTTCTGAACTTAATCTGCAAAATTATATCAGGTGCAAATTATCAAGTAATGTAATGGAGTCTGTATAGACATTATTGCTGAAATTGAATAACTAGAGTTTTTAGAAAATGTAATTCGGTTTCAGTTCTTCTGAATGCGAAGTCCCTCGACTATACAAAAATGAATAATAGACCAAGAACTGAAGACAGACCTGCAATTCTGCCATAACTCAGAAGTATAAATTCCAAACTGATGTCTCCATGAATGTTACTTTTCCCTTGAGATAAGGCTTTCCTAAACTAATATTATATCTTTAGTTTATGGTATACTAAACCTACCTTTACACGTGATTTTAGTACACGCACATATATTTATAAGGTTCTTTAAAATCTATGAGATTTCTTAGTTTTTGTTAAGTATTTTGGTACAACTTATCATCTTGCTTCATAGTAATGTTTGCCCATCTCTGGCATCCTTTCAATAATGTTATTATTTCTACTCATTATTTAAGTCTCAAATTCATGGTATTTTTGAGCTTCACCCAATTGCCAAATGGGGGCATATCAATATAAACGTATAATTAGATGAGCAGAATAGTTTACAATCAATCTGAGATGGTTATCCCGGAAGCACTCCTTTAAATCCTAGCAAATAATTTTTGTCCCATGTCTCCTAATATGGAATAAAGGATGTATAGTTTCAGAGAGAAAGCTTCTAATACAGATGAGTGGTCACATGCTAGTGGCATCCTTACTCTGGTTAATTGACTACTTCAGAACTATAACTAATTCTAAAGTTATTTGAACAACAAATTCAATGTCAGTTGTAAGAAACTAAGAATGACAAACAACCAAAATAAATAACTTATCAAGAGCATAAAAGGTTGGTAGTTAGTGTTTCATCACAATGTAAAACTATACTATCCTCCATTTGGTTTTAGATGCGACATGCAAATGTGCTCAAGAATTAAGGAACTTGTACGAAGTCCTTAGTTTCCAAATTTGCCCTTGTTTTTACAAGATGAAAATTTCTGACAAGTCCCCCTCTTTCACATAATCACATTTCCAATCCTTTATTTTCCACCACTAATGCCTTATTTCCTCTCTCTTACTTTCTTCTTCTCTGCAAAGACCAAATATTGGCTGTTTTCACGATTTTAGAATTAATCTTCTCCTTCAGTTGTTTAATTCCATTTGGTTTCCGCATATTTAGTTGTTGATATCCTGAAGCAAACTACTGCCCCCTGTATTAGTTTACCAAAGGTGAAAGTTCCTTCTAAATTCTAATCCCAGTTTCTAAATTTGTTTTGATGATTTGGCTAATCAACATTCAGAATTTTAGATTAACCTCCACACAATAGTCCAAAGGAAACAACTGAGATTGAAAGGAAGAAGATGGCAGGGGGAGATATGAAAGAAGAAAAAGAGGTGTGTGAAAGAGAAAAGGGATGTGTAGGGCGATCAAGAAAGGGTATAAATGAAATCAATGCTCCATTTCCGTCTTCAGATTTGCCTTCATCATTGTGGCCTTTGAGTAGGAATTTGGCAGACATCTACTTTGCGCTTGGTATATCCTGTTTGTCGCTCTCTCAATCAATGGCTTATTCTCACCATAGCCATGTTCCTACATTTCCTCTGTCTAGCTTCTCTCCTTATTTCGGCGGATTTCATCATGCAAATAATCTGAATGTGTAAATAAACTTTTCCAAAACACAAAATTTGAAAATAATTTTTGAAACAAAATGTTCCCAATAAGAGTAGAATTTCAAATTGGAGTTGACGGACTGGCCAATTGGGCATAGTTAAAAAGTATGGGCATGAAGGGTTAGACATAGTGGAAGAAAGGGGGTGGATATTACATGGTTTGATGAAATTTTTTAATTTGGGATGGGGTGATGGATGGGTTGGACTCATTAAGAGGAATAAAATGAGTGTGAAGCAGGGCCGGTTCTGGGGGGAGGGCAAGAGGGGCGACCGCCCTAGGCCCGGAAAAAAATAGAAGAAAAAATAGGCCCAAATTTTTTTCTTTATGTATAGTGTTAGTAGGCTTCTTTTTTTAATTCTTAAGGTGAGTTAATTAGGCCTAATAATGTTTAATTTTGTTGACAATTTGAAAATTTAAAATGTAAATAAAAAATTTAAAACAGAGCCTAGTTTAAAAAAATACGAGTAATATATACATTAATATTAAGTAGGATCAATTTTAGTTTTTAAAAGCAATACAATTGTTGCTCCATCAAAAAAAGAATATATACATTAATTTTAAGTAGGATCTGTTGTAGTCTTTACATCTCTTTAGCCTTTAAGGCTTTTTATTCATTTAATTATAACATAATAAATTTATATAATTATTTTAGAGCCCATCTCTCTCAAATCTCATCCAAATTATTTATTTGTTTCCAAATTTCAATAAACTATATCTGAGTTCCTAATAGTAGTTTAGAGGACGTCAAATTGGAAGTCTTCTTGCGCGAGTGTTGTTGGCGGTCATATATTTTGTCTCTTTGAAAACCTTCATTCTTTCGAGAGTTCAAACTTTAGACTCCCATCAACGGTCAATAAATCATTCTCAACTTATGAATTCAATATGTAGTTATATTTTTTTTCATATTTCCTTTCAAAAAAAAGGTTAGTGTTGTTATATGTGGCAATTTTATTGTTTGTCATGTATTAATAGAAAGAAGGTCGCCTATGAAGCGATTATTGATTATTTGCTTCATATTGTTCTACGAGAATTTTTTTTTACTGATTTTTTTTCTTTTTATCCAATACTTGTGTTGTTACTTTTGCCCAAATATGTAACTTAAATAATAATAATAATAATAATAATAATAATAATAATAACAATAATAATAATAATAATAATAATAAAGTGATTTTTTACTTTATTTTATGAACTTCATTGGATTTTTTTATTATAATTCTTATTTCAAATAAGTATACGGTCATAGGCCCAGAATAGCGTACCGCCCATAGGCCCAGAAATGGTCAGGACCGGCCCTGGTGTGAAGATATCAGTCATTGTGAGTACCTTTTATTTAACAAAAGTAGAACAGTTGCAGTTAAGAATGGAGGTATTATAATCTAAGTTAACGTCCACAAAAAGGCTACTACAAAGTGTTGCATAAGTTTTCACTATACTAGACTCCTAGTAATCTACTCACTATGTTTGAGTAATTCTGAGCCTACAATTGCACATTAACCTACTATATCTATGTGTGAATTAAATAGGTTATAGCTTTTGATGTCTTGAAATTACATAGTTTATATTGATTCTACCATTCAACTAATCCCGTTGCTACCTATATTTTTGTTCTACATTCTTGAATCTTTTCTATGGTGAATATTCTTAGAAGCTATTCCTTGTTATCCAAAACTACACCTCAGACGGAGGATTTATTTGGCAAAATAAGATGATAGGAGGATAGTTGATAATGAGCTATGGGCGTATAAGTTTTTAACTTCATAACTTGTATCATGTCATAACTGATAAATTAGTTGATTTCAAATAATGTTTGATGAATATTTGGTAATAGCTAGCTTTGAAAGTTGAAATATAAGACATCAAGGATATTTTAAAATCATTTAAAAATAAAAGCTGAGTTAGGATGTTTTTACTTGGACTGTAATTTGCTGGTCTGGTCTGGTCTGGTAATGTCTGGTTTCTTTGTATTTTTATAACTATCCAAGTCTGGTCTGGGACAAATTACAGTCCAAGTAAAAACATCCTAAGAGTTGAGCTTGCGTTGTGCCAAAAGTAGCCCAACTATGTGCTTCACGCCTAATTTCCAATCGGTACCTATCAATATAATTAGTTGACCCTAGCAGTTCATAATCAACATGAAATGGTACTTCAAGACTCTCAAAAGTTAGGTCAAAGACTGATAGAAGCAGAAAAAGAAACCCTAGCAGACGGTGTTAACGACTGCCCAGCCTTAGGCTCAAACCAAATCTTTATTCTCGATAATGAATAATAGTTCACAAGACCTCCTTAAATACTCCTTAACCTAATAATAAAATATGGCCATCTAGGCCCATTAACCTAATAATAAAATATGACCATATAGGCCCAACAGTTTATTAGACATAACAATAGACTGAAATAAAGTAATGAAACCCAGCAGTCAACCCAGCCCAATTAGGTCCACTGACAGCAACCCATAAACTAATAATGGGCGAGGCCCGTCCTCCTGAAGCATTGGCCCGTTTGCCTCCTAGAGCCTCGGCCCATCTGCCTCCCACTCCCTAACAATTTCATCCCCCTCCAAAACAACCTTGTCCCCAAGGTTGGAGTGAAGAAGCTGCTGCTTGTTTCTCCTTCTGTTCCCCTAGCTGCTCAACCTCTTCGGGCGGGATAAAAGATTCAGTTTGATTGAGGTCAAGTTCCTCATCTTCCTCGACAACCATTACTCTTAACTGTTTTAGGGGACATTCATGCCTGGGGGTATAGGGCTTCTTGCAACGGAAACAAAGCCCTTTTGCACGTAGGTCTGCAAATTCCTGCGGTGAGAGGCGTGTGAACCGAGAGCGATTCTCCGACTGGCCAGTCATGGCTGACCCGGACCCCGAGGTACTACCTGGAGATCGCGAGGAAGTTGTGCTTCCTGCTGCCCCTTGGTTTCCAGTAACTGGCGTGGAAGAGAGCCCCGAAAACCCGCCAACTTTGGTGTAATTACTGGAACGGCACTGCTGATTGTCGTATCCCCATTCTGATCTCCCTCCGGACTGTACGGCCAAGTCTTCTTCGATATCTCTTGCTAACTCCATAGCAGCTTCCAAATCAATTGGGCGTAGGGTCCGTAAGGAACTGCGAATGGTGTCCCGTAGCCCTTTCATAAAGTACCCCAAGTAGTGGGCATCACTCAAACCTGGGACCTGACTAGCTAATTGCACGAACAAATTTACATAGTCATCCATGGATCCTGTCTGCTTAACGTCAGCCAACCGTTCGAATGTGCTCCCTTTGAACCGAGTATCAAAACGGGCTACAAGGGCTTGTGAAAACTCCTCCCAAGCTATGCCTGGTTTCCGCGACCGTGTCCAAGAAAACCAGTACAAAGCAGGACCCTCCATTGCTACCATGGCTGACGCCACCTTCAACTCAGGTCGGGTCTGATGTATTTCAAATTGCTGATTGGCCCTGGCAAGCCATCCAATCGGATCTGCCCCCTCAAACGCCGGTAGCGTCAGAGGTGCGGTCACAGACCTAGGGTTGTGGGAGTTCTGCGAGTCAGCCGTGCCTCCTCCTCCTCCTGACTCAGAATCAGCCAGCGTTCCCCCCGACGCCATAACCTTCTGCGCCAGTTTGTCTAGGGTTTGCGTGATAGCATCCAACTTGGCGTTGGTGGATTGCAATTCTGCCCTGATGTCCTTCTGGTCTGCTTCTATCGCATCTATGCGTTGATCAATGGTGGAACGAGTCATGATGAACGTAGGGCGGTGGATAGGATCCGGCAGGTCGGACCAAATTGATAGAAGCAGAAAAAGAAACCCTAGCAGACGGTGTTAACGACTGCCCAGCCTTAGGCTCAAACCAAATCTTTATTCTCGATAATGAATAATAGTTCACAAGACCTCCTTAAATACTCCTTAACCTAATAATAAAATATGGCCATCTAGGCCCATTAACCTAATAATAAAATATGACCATATAGGCCCAACAGTTTATTAGACATAACAATAGACTGAAATAAAGTAATGAAACCCAGCAGTCAACCCAGCCCAATTAGGTCCACTGACAGCAACCCATAAACTAATAATGGGCGAGGCCCGTCCTCCTGAAGCATTGGCCCGTTTGCCTCCTAGAGCCTCGGCCCATCTGCCTCCCACTCCCTAACAAAGACCTAATAAACATTTATATAAATTCACCTTTGTAACATAATAAACAGCTGTTATGAACTCTAAAAAAATGAGGATCAAAAGCATCTATGTGTAAGTAAGGATGTGCTCACAATCTATGCTTGTGAATCACCTAATGATTGTACGGATTCACACCATACTGATTGATACTTCTGATGATTGGACTCATGAGAACTGTTTTGCTTCTTAACTTCTTAAGCATACAAACCAATTAACAACTTTTATAGTTTTATGCATGAGGCCTGCCTCATATGTGTTTCTCTTCCTCTGCTATCTTTTCCCTCTTCAGCTCATCTCTTGTTTACTTTAATCATGTTTGAGTTGTTGCATCAAAATGTTCACAACCATTTGAAATCAAAATGCTGGTACAATCTATTGCTCCCTTTTATTTGCATAAAAATTGACTTGTGACATTAGTTTAAGGTCATGTAATTGGTTTCATCTTTGGCTTTGTCAGGCTGTCAGGCTTGTGATGGTAAAAACTCTTCTTGCTGATAATAAAGTGTGTAGTTGGCATTCAGCCTTGATCAGTGATGCAGTTTATTTTGCTTTGGCGGCTTGCTGCCTGTTGTTTCTATTCGAATGTGGTTTCCCATGATGTATCATTGTCTCCTTGGCACGTAGGTGTTCAAACCATTTGTAGTTGGAATTCATGGGGTTATATTCAGATGTTAAACGACCCCCCATAAGATTGATCATGTCAATCACGGGTTTCTGAAATCAATAATTGAATTGTGGGACGGTCTGGTTCCGGTTCTGAGTTTCCTAGTGATTCCGGTCTAGATCAGCAATGATTCAAACATTTTATTGTAGTGATAAGGTATATGAGTAAATTTCAGATAAAATATTATAAATGCACTAATTACTTAATATGGGACAATAAATCTAACAGAGCATATAAATTTATTCAAAAAAACAATATAGCAAGTTTGCTAGCAAAAATAGTTGTTTCGTTCCACTGATTAACTAATGTATAAAAGGTAAGTGTTTAGTGGTGAGACTGGGGTGGACTTGGTCGGGTTTTGGCCGGAACTGAAATTTAACTTGGTGTATGGTTTTGGTCTGTTCTAGCCTTCTAGGTTTTGGACGAACTTGAATAGGAAAAACAGTTGTTTGGTACAATTACCCGGCTAGTTCTTGAACTATTGTGTCTAGCACTATTCCAGCTTCGATGTTTCAAGTTATTATCTCAACCGGAACTTATTATTTTGCATATAATATGATTTCGAGCATGCAATGAATATATTAGCAAACTGAAGGATAGTTCCAGAAAAGTACCAAATGCTTGAAATCAACATTTTGTATTAACTAGCACATTAGTTTAATTATAACAAATTGAAAGAACGACATAAATAAAACTATTAGCTTATGAATGGGTAAAACAAGACTTGCTTTTAATTTGGACCAAAAAGAGTTGAAATGTCTACAATACCCACAATATAAATTCATTGTCTAATCCTAAATCTCTTTTCTCCCATCCGCTCCTTTCACTAACCTACAACGGGCTCCACCATGGCCGGTGCCCAATGTACGCCACCGTCCTCTATCGCACGCCGCTGTATTCATGGTGTCCCCATTCCATTGTGTTCCCTAGCTATCTAGCGGTGGCTGCCTCTATCTTCTCCTTTTTTTGTCCGTGCACTGCTTCGGGCACTAGAAGTCTAGAACCTTGAGTAGGGTTTCAATTTGGGCGACATTTATGGTTGTGTGGTGGGTGCGGTGATTGAGGATGTTGGAAAGGGAGTTAGGGTTAGGGAGGAGGTTGGACCATTGGAGAGGGGACTTGGAGGGGTTTTTATGGGATAGGTGATGGTTGGGGGGTTATACCACTAGAGACAGGAACAGGGCTGGGAAAGTTGGTTGGTGCTTGGGAGGCTGGTCGTTCGAGAGGGGCGGGTGGGGTGGTAACTGACAGGGCAGTTGGTCACTGGAGGCCTGGAGGGTGGTGGTCAGCCTGTTGGCCGAAGCTAGTGACTGACTGTGATCACTATTAGAAAGGGTAACTGTAAATGGTTGAACCGAGTAACTGTAACTGATCATGTCGGGTGTGGTAATTAATCAAATTGAGTAATTGTAACCGATTGAGTTGGATAATTGTAAGACATCAGACCATATAGTTGTAACTAGGGAAGAAGTATAAAGGTCATATAAGTGGTCTCATTTTATACATGAATAAAAATGTTCAAATTTCTTTTTTAATGACTAAGCACATTAAAGATAACATTTTGTTTTCAACTATTATGAAGGCACAAATAATACAAAAAAGAACTCCTAGGACCAAAATATCTTCACTTTAACAAAATATGATCTAATATTTAAATTTCATAAATATGACTTATTATTTTTATATTGAACAAAAATCCCCTAATAGGGATTTGGTTTTTGTCCAACTTCTTCTATGCCCGAGAGTTTTGTCTGATCAGGTGAGCGTGAGTTATGTTTCTCTCCTCGTGATATCTAGATATTGTGTATTCCTCGTTGGCGACGGATCGGGTGATGAACTTTTGTTACTCATTGTTGACAAGACTTGTTCGATCTAGTTTTCCAGGGTGTTGACTTCCAATATTGATGACTCTGAGAATTCAGTTATTCCTCCTGCTCACGAACCAACGCCATACTATGAGAGAAAGATGACGTTTAACTTGATATCTTTTTTCGGTGACTAGCCTTGTCAAACTGGTGATTCAGAGAATTTCTTTTTGATACAGTTTCCTTTGTTACTTGCTACTCAAATCATTCTCCCTTTCGAGTGTATGGTGAAACCAGATCTTTATTTGTAGTTTTTTTATATTTTCTTTGGAATACACAAGTCAGAAATGCTCAGGTTCAGCCCTCCCCTGTCCAGCCGCCGTCCGAACTCCGCCGTTTGGGGCGGTTCCCGGTGGAATGTTTTGATAAATTTTTTTGAGCATGTTCCTCATCAAGTCTAGTTTGTTCATACCAAATTTCAGCTCAAAATTCGACTGGGAGGGCATTCAAATCATTTTTTGAATTTGACTGCGTTTTTATATGTATATTTTGGCAAAGTCAACTTCAAAATATGATTTGAATGCCTTCCCGATCGAATTTTGAGTTGAAATTTGGTATGGACAAATTAGACTTGATGAGGAACATGGTCAAAAAATTTCATCAAAAAATTCTATCGAGAACCGCCCCAAACGGCGGAGTTCGGACGGTGGCTTCCGTCCCTCCGGCTGGACGTGAGCAGTCCTCTACATAAGTTAAGAAAGACTATTAGACTCTACATTATTGCGGGGTAAGGGATTTGGTTGGATTTGTGACATCTTTTTTTTTTTTTTTTTCTTATATGGCTTATCTCATTATAACTTGTTACTAACTTGTTGCTTTGCTATAATTATAATTCTAATGAATAAATACATTACTTTGTTTAAAAAAGGAAAAACTGTCAAATAGATCCTCGAATTTTCATAAAAAGTCAATTAAGTCCTTGTATAGGATGTTCTGTCTGGCCATCACGATTTGGGGTGGTTCCCGATGGATTTTTTGATGAATATTTTTGAGCATCTTATTCATCAAATCTAGTTTACTCATATCAAATTTCAGCTAAAAATTCAATCGGGAACACATTCAAATTAATTCTTGAACATAATTGCGCATTTTTGCGTTCTAAAATTAATTTGAATGCTTTCCCAGTTGAATTTTTAGCTGAAATTTGGTATGAATAAACTAGACTTGATGAGTAAGATGCTCAAAAAATTTAATAAAAAAATTCCACCAAGAACCGCCCCAAATCGCGACGGCCAGACAGAATTTCCTATAGAAGGACTTAATTGATTTTTTTCTAAAAGTTCGAGGACCTATTTAAGAGTTTTCCTTTTAAAAAAACAAACTTGAGTCATAACTCAACAAAATTTCCTTCGAATTACTAGTACAAGTATATTTCAAACATCCTAGACCAAAATCAAACCAACGTCTCTGATTTAATCCAAAGTCGCGAGCACGGTCTACCTGGCATATCAACTGAACTGACAAATATACCCTCGACAACGCCTCGCTTGTCTGTGTATAAATAAACCCCATATCGCAACTTCGTGCGCTCCTGGTCGATCTAGTCTCTGCAACTCACTATCTTTCTTTCTCTGTACATAATTTTTTTTCATATAAAGCCATCATCTCTCCTCCTTTGTACTGGCATCGGGGTTAGGGGTTATCATTCAGCTTCTCGATTTGATTTTAGATGCCGGGTTCGGCATCAGTTGCAAGAAACCCTAAATAGCAATTCATTTTACTGGTGAGTTCTCGAAATCTTATACCATTCCTGTTCCAAGATTTGATTTTGTTCAGCTCAGTCGAAGTGAAAGTACTGCCGAGACATTGGGTTTTTATTGATTCTTAGTCGATGGATTTTCATGCTGAAATGTGCGAATCTTGCGGTTGAATGGCGGTCTTTTGGGAGATGTAGTTCGATTGAAGTGATATGAGACGTTGAATATGAGCGATGGAGGTAGGGAGAATGTAAGAGGGGTTCAAAACAGCTGCGGGACGTCAAAGAGGACGAAGGTTGCAGTGAAAGACGAATTTGCCCAGGCAATTGCTAGAATTGCAGTTTCACAGATATGCGAAGGTGTAGGGTTTCAGAACACCCACCAGTCTGCTTTGGATACTCTCTCAGATGTTGCTGTCAGGTACATTCAAGATGTAGGGAAATGTGCCAATTTGAGTGCAAATTCAGCAGGTAGAAGTCAGTGTAATTTGTTTGATGTGATTGAAGGATTGGAAGATTTGGGCTATGCCCAGGGGTATTCTGGTGCTTCCGATGTTAATCACTGTGCTTTAGATTCAGGAGCAATCAAAGACATCATTCGGTTTGTGGATGAAGCTGAAGAAATCCCTTTTGCCTGTTCTGTCCCTAGGTTCCCAATACTTAAAGAATCAAAACTTAGTCCTACTTATGTGCAAACTGGAGAAGCCCCTCCTGAACATGTACCTGCTTGGTTGCAGCTATTTCCAGATCCCAAGAGTTTGGATTTGGTTGAAAAGAAAGAAGTAGATAGTGGGATTGTTAAGGTCGGACAGGTTGATGATCCGAGAATTGAAAGAAGACCTCTTCCGAATTTTCACCAACAGTTGGGTGTTAATGGACGTGAAGATGCTGCTGCTGAGGAAAAGAAAATAACAAATCGCAACCCATTTCTTGCACCACCGCTGCAATATGGGGAGAAAAAGGTCTCCAAAGTTGTACTTCCAGCTAAATTTTTAGATGACACCTTAGTGATTCCGCAATTAGATCATCCGATTACAAGATTCCATGAGTCTGAATTAGATGGTGCCATTGAAGCACTTCATAGCAGGTCAAGTCATCATGTGGATGGTGAGAAAGATGTTGTATTGGAAAGGAGAGATGCAGTGAGATTCCGTTTAGAAAGTGGAAGAAAGACATTAGTTAGAGCAGCAAGCATATGGGGTGAGAGTGATGAGGAACTAGACTCTCGGCCCGTTAATGATGATGAAAAAGTTAACGGGAAAAGAAAATCCGAGGAAATTAACAATAGTTCCATGAATAATTCGCAGGAGCAGGCTCAATTGTAAAGTAGGCATGTTTTGTTAGACCTAGTATACTCATTTAGCGAAATAGAGGCAAACACTGCTTCCATGAGAGTCAATGTAGAGGATATGTGTCCTTATATGAGGTTTTACAGACTGCTAGAGAGGTGTTTTTCCACTTAACAATCCATTGAGGTATGTTTTTATTAGTCATGTCCTGGAACCTTTGTACTTTATCACTTTTCTTAATGATACCAATTGTGTTGCACAATTTTGAATTTGAAGTGCATATGTATTTATTTACAGAGACATTTCTTGCCAGTTTTCTGCAAATTGTAGTAAATGTCTGAGATGATCCAGAATGTTGACAA